AAAAGTATACTAACAATGACAATATATTGACTAAATTATATATAAACTATGACATGGAATGTATGTATGGAATTATATGTATACGAGCTATGGCACTCATATGTCATATAACTGGATTGTATATGACTGCGACACGTATATGAACTATGACATGCGTGTTGGTTAAGATTTATATTAAATATAACATTTTTAATGAATTAAGATGTATATGAACTATGACATATGTATAGACTGAAATGATTATATTCACAAGTAGTGGTTGAGTAATTCGATTAAATATGGCTGACTGACAGACATTTTTAAAAAAAATGTGGTATCTTGAACATGCTTTGTCAGATTGTTATTATACATGTTATAATACATGTTCATGACGACATGCTTAGTCATTTTCATTAAAATTTGGTACATACATTATACATGTTAGGATACATGTTCATGTCAGTTTGTTTCATAATCAGATCAAAGATGGCTGTTAATATTTTGACCATACTACTGTATCCCGATACACATGTACAGTCTCATATTGTGTCACATTTATCATAATACATGCCTATATGTTTATTTGTAGGAATATCGTCCAAAGGTTGTATTAAATGTTTATAGTTAAAAAATGTACATAGATTATTTTGAATAACAAGAGTGAGTCTGGTTGAAAATGAATTCATGGATGACAATATTTCATCCTGAGATACATATTAGCTCGTACAACAGATTACGAGTTAACGCTGATGTCACTCCAAGTTGTATATTCTCAAACATACATTGCATGTTAGTCACATGATGCACATTCATGTTTGACTCGTGCTTCATTCTCCTTAAATTGTAAAGTGCCTTAATTGAACACCATGAAAACATTGTTAGAAAAAAGTGCCATTGGGTAACGCCATAATGAATATGCTGGCACTTGCTTACAATACTGGAGACATGCACTTTATTTGAGTTTGAATTTATGACTAGCAATTTGCATATCCAATTTGATTGCTTATATTATGCACACAATAATACATGTTCATAACAATTAAATTTGTAATCAGAAAAAAAGACGAAAGACTTGCAGCCATCTTGCTCTTTGAAATCAGCCAAATTACAAAAGTTGAGATATGAGCTGGGTGAGGCAGCTGTTCAGTTAGGTTCTATTTAATGTGATGTGATGTTATGTGATGTGATGCGATGCGATGCGATGCGATGCGATGCTGATGTGATGTTATGTGATGTGATGTGATGTGATGTGCTGTGATGCGATGCGATGCGACGCGATGTGCTGTGATGCGATGCGATGCGATGTGATGTGATGTGATGTGATGCGATGCGATGCGACGCGACGCGACGCGACGCGATGCGATGTGATGTGATGTGATGTGATGTGATGTGATGCGATGCGATGCGATGCGATGTGATGTGATGTGATGTAATATGTAATGTTTATGTATAATCAAACTAGATAAATATAGGGATGACAAGATCAAGTGGGTATCTAAGAATATATACATATATTGATGGTCTCGATAATCAAGAAGAATAGAATTTCGATGTTATCAAAGGTGATGGTATGGAAAACCAAGACAATACACAGATAAATGAGACATCTTTTGTTCTAAATAGTCAGGAAGTGGGACTTTGAGAGATAATGGCAAGTATTACTATCTGGGTAACCAAGGGAATACATATGTGGATAACAGGAATGATGGTGTCTGTAAGCAGGAAGAAGGGCATTTTGATGTTATCAAGGGTGATAATATTATTAACTAAGAAAAAGATTATATGTATGACATGGCTAATTATCTAGAATAATATAATTGAGGTGGCCGTGTGGATAAGCAGATAAATACATTGAAGGAGGACAGGATAATCTCGAAAGCCAGAAAAAAAAAGACCCGTTACATATCGAACAAAAAACGGAAAAAATAGAGCCCTGAACCCACCAAAGTATGAAACAACCAGATACATAGTTCGTATGATGTCCCTTCACTGTCACTCAATAGCGAAATAATGGTGTATTGAGTAAATACCAGACTGGTTTTAAGGCAATTATGTTCGAAGTATTATATTAAAATCGTTTATTGAACATTGAACACGCTTTGTATACGTATATTCCAAGAGAACGGTAAGCTAGAATGCATAGCAATGACTGATGATGACACACGTTCGTATAATTAATTTCAGCTCCACGTTGTTAATAGTACCATTTTACTTGAAATCGGTCTTTCCTATCATGATTTACGCCCTCTGTAGTTGAAATCAGTTTTTTAATAATATTTTGTCTTTGACGCAGGAGACGCTATTAAAAAATCATGGTCACAGATTGGCCTACTGAGAGCAGACAGCATCAAAATAGTCTTATGACTTGTTTTTAAAAGCCACTTACTATGTGGTTAACACTATTTTTGACGGGACAGCCACAATGTGGTTTTGGATACTGCTCTGTGCCGTTGTAAGCAAACAATTGTTTTTTTATTATTTCTGAGTATGAATATGCGAATTGATTTCTGATCTCTGTTTATTGTTGTATAGTCAAAATGATTTCACGACGTACCTGACGAGATAATAACAGCATTTAAGGAATTTCGGTCAGATCTGTTACATTTTATTATTGGTTTATTAAACAATTTTGGAATAGATTTTAGAAAACGTTGTCTGCTTATTGTGTATAAGGTGCACCGAGGGGAACTGTCATACTGACTGAGCGTTAATTAGAAAGACCTGGATTTCAGTCTCAATGGAAAAGAGACCAATCAGTTGTAAATTATGGTGGCTATACATGGTAATACTACCTTTACTAAATTTCTGTTGGTAAATGGCCAGTCAACTGAACATAATACTGTAAAACATGTCTTTTTGCGAGCATGTCTATTTAGCGAGAGAACTAATTCGCTAATTTAAAATGTCGCTAATGACTTCATTATAAATTCAAAATGGCGGCCAAACAACGTCTTTTTCTCCACACACACACTTTGTAAACAACACAGAACACGTAATAATCTGGAGCGCTTTCTTATTACAATTGACAGTTTTTTCTTTATTTTTATGGAGGTTATAATTGCGCATTTGTTTTGGCAGGCGCCAGAAAAGTATTGTGAAAACAAAAAATCAATAAAGACGAGAGATTCGCTAAATCAACATTTCGCTATTACGTATTTTTACCACAATTCGCTAAAATAGTATGTCTCGTTTTCAACATGTTTTACAGTATTAGAACATAGTGCCCACAATTACCACAACAACACAACACTACATAATCAACTTATTTACAAACATAGAGCAAATGACTGACAAACAATGGACAATCCCACAGAATAAATGATTGACAAAAAATTAAAAAAACACATTCTGGTACTCCACAGCAGACAAATCGGTAAGAAAAAAAAAATTCTGCTGTAAAGAGGTTAAAAAAACAACAACAGAGACTTAAATGAGCCATTCACTATAACTGCTATCAGTATTACCCAAATTGTAACATGGAGGTAAAAAAGATTCTATAAAAAGTAAATTATTTTTGCGGAATTCTGTGGAACATATAAATAAAGTGTTTCAAAAACTGACTCGTCAGAGAGCATAAAATATAGTCAATCTTCAACTAAAAACGGGATTAAATGTCCAAGTGTGTAGTTTCCGGTGTGTAGTGGGAATGGTGACCTCTTGTTTTCAACAAAGGTCACTGCGCATGAGTAACGACCTCATTTATGGTCTGCACAATTGATTTAATATTTCATCGGAAAATTGTTTCTGTGTAATCTGAATATTACCGTCTGTACACTAGTTAAAACAATCGCCAACTATCATCGAGTTCAAAGACCAGGAGCACAAAGGAATAAGGAGCTTAACTTAGCAATAAACAATTGGATTTAATAGGCTTATTTCCGTCAGTGCTCCTTCTTTTTTTTCCTCCATGGTTGTAATGACAATACATCAACAACTCTTTATATGAGTTTGCTGGTTATTTAAACAAATTCACCTTTAGGCGAAACCCGTGATGACAGCGAGATTCTACTTTAATTCAAACTGAATAAATCTCATCTCAATTTAAAACATGACAACTACATTTGATTGCGTCTCAAAATTTGGAAGCTTAGGCGATGTGTTCTGCGAAATGCTATAATTAGACTCACCGATCAAAATAATCAATTTCATTACCTGTAACAGCTTGTACATTAACTAGTATTGTGTTGGCGTCTAAAATAATATCAATAATGAATTTCTTTATTGAATGCACTGTACAAAGTAATTTAAATCCCCATACTATCACAACACATACAGAACAATATAATGATAATCTAATACAACTTTCAAAACATAAACAATAGTGCTTCATTG